CTGAAATTTCCTACAATTCAAGAAGAAAACAGCCTGACAATAGGAGAGCACTGACGCTGACACGGATCGGTACAAATCTAGAAATATCCCAGCCTTTCTGAAGGAGAGAAAGAAATATGAAAATCAAGGAGGCCATAACATAAAGGCGTCCTACAATAATTATTGTAGGAACGACTGACTATATGACCGTAAGTGCCGACTATGTATGGGTTCTTTAATCCGTCAGGTCTTATTCAATACTCACTGGTTTTATTAAATCTTTGGTGAATTATAATCTAACCAGAGCTTTCATAACGTGCTGATTATCCAATATAGTGAAGTCCAGGAAAATCAAAGTGCCATAATCTCGGTTCAAAAACAATATATTTAAGCCAGCTCCACGGCATTTGAAAAGGAAAGACTTGTACCGGGTGACCCAATAATAAAAGACGTCGGCTATATCTCAAAGAGAGCCTAGAGCCATCCGTTAAAAAATTTCATATCAAAAGCGGCCAAGGGAAATTACTGGAAATTTTTCAGCTTGAAAAATGGCCGCTAACAGGCATATTTTCAATTTCAAAAATTCAAACGTCATTATTATGCAAAAATGCGTAATTAACGTTCTTATTTAATAACTATTGTGTTGATTGCTCGATTTTTGAACTTTTTCCTCAATGCATTTTCCATATTTTGTGTCGTTTAGGGTGGGGGAAGGGTTGAATGTCATTTCAGAATAAGTAATATAACTTGTGATGGCTGTACCGATTTTCACGATCTTGGTTTTATTCGAAAGAGCTTGCGCCTGCGCTCCTACTTAAGGCTGAAATGCGTTCACTTTGTGGCCACTAGAGAGCGTTTTATGGATGTGTCACCGTTTATTTTATAATTTTCGAAAATTTCAACTATAGCAGAATATGTACTTTTTTAATATCGCTCGTTAAGAGCATAAGAAATACTAAAAAATGGCGAAAACCGCAGACCAATACCAAAATGAAAACGCAGAGTTGTTTTTCCGGTTTCCGGTTTTTTTATTTGCGAGTACTATCCTTCCGGTTAATGATGAAACACAATCTCATTCATATGCGCGCCACGGCTGAGCTTGACGTAGCCAATTCTGTCGACCCAATTTTTCAGTACATTTTCTGCGGCGGCATTATCTTGCCAATGGCTGCATGAATATTGGTCTTCAAGTGCTCAATCGTCGCGGGGCATCCACATAGCATTTATCTTTTACCCTTCCCCACAACAAATAATCCAAACTAGTTAAATCGTAGCTTCGCGGTTGCCTAGTCACATCACCAAAACGGCTGATTACCGAATTTTCGAACAGTTATTGAAAAAGAACGATTGTTTCGCGGATTGTGTGGCAAGTCGCGCGCCGCCTTGCTGGAACCACACGCCATCCAAGTCGGTTTCCAGAAAGAAATAGTCAGTCAGCATGCTCCGATAGCGCACATGAAATGACCGTGACGGCGCGACCTTCGTCATCTTCGGAAAAAAGGGCCAATAATGCCACCAAACAGTCACGCGTTGCGGGTGCACTGGCATCTAGGTAATTTCATTTAGCTATTCCGAGTACCAAATATCGCAATTTTGCTTACTGACGTATCCACCAAGGTGAAAATGGGCCGAATCCTGAAAAATGATTTTTCGGGGTCCTCGTCCAAGCGTCCAATTTTTAGCGCTTCCAAACGTTGTTCAAGCGTATATCGTTCCATATTCGTTCACCGCAGACTTTACTTTCCTGTCAAAACAGAACTGATGTAAGTGTTGCCAACCAGAGATAAGCAGTAGTTAAAAAATTAACCAACAGATGGATCACCCTTTAAAATTGTAATACTACAGCGGCTATTTCGTTCAAAAAAGCTTAATAATAATCATTGATACCACTGCTATCAATGACTGTCGCTTCTTTGAAGCAACTTTTTTATAACAGGTATAGCGTTCAAAAAAAGAACCGTCCCATCCAAACTATGGTCAAGATTTTTTTCTAACGCAAAGGAACCTACCGTACCGGTAACTCGCTTGGGTCAGAGCAAGAAAGAATTCTTAAATGTAAAAACCGTTGTAGCAGAGGCAAAGCATGTTGACGTTGACCGAACCTTCCAAGAATTTCTTATTAGTCAGGTAGTTCGTCGTCGGCATTTTTAATACTCACTTTACATGTGATCATTAAAGAAATGTGCCCATGTGGCGATAGGTAGGTACCATCGAACAATTCCAGTTAGACCAGTCGGCTAGAGTTGGGCGAATATCCTTACCTAAAACTGTTGTTTAAATAATATACACCAACGTTCACACAGCAGAGGCATAATCGAATAGCAGCCCAAAGAAGATCCGGAGCTAGAAGAAAGAACGAATCTGTCACTCGAGGGAATAGAAAAACTGTTAACGTTCTGTTTGAAGAGCAACTACTTCCAAGTAAAAGAAGTATACTACGTACAAGAAGGACTACCAATGGGATCACCGTTGCCTCCAGTCGCGGCTAACTTGTACATTGAATGGTTGGATCGATGGCTATAAAAAGCGCAAAAATAAAAGTTATGGCTGGACATGTGTGGACGACACCTTCATTGTCTGGAACGCCTTCTATTCCTAGATGTCAGGGTGACGAACAACAACAGCCAGATACAAACTTCAGTTTACCGGAAACCAACACACACAGGGCAATATTAACATTATTCTTCAAGCCATCCTGTGACCACGAAGAAAGGGATGATTCGAGCTCTCGCAAGATAAAAAAATTCTGGCAAACAACGGATACCCAACAACTATAGTAGAAGTTTTGCAAGTAGATACGACAATCAGGAGTTGAACAGCAGAACACCCTCATAATATCGTACGTTGAAAGCATTTCTAATAAACCAGATTCTCGAGGAAATAGGTGCATCCTCATAAAACCCAAACCCAGGAATGAAACTCAGGCACAAAGCGCTGCATATACCAGATTCCATAAGAATGTGAAGAAGCAGCACCTACTTTACACTCAACGGGCCGAAATAGAGAAATCAGGGATAACAGACGCTTGGAGAGAACACCACGAAATAAACTGGACACCAAGATCATACACAAAGAAGCAACGTACATACATATACAAACCAATATGGGAATATCAATACGCTACGGTTAGAACAATCAGGGCAGGCCTCCCGAAGAGCACGTAATGACGACCGACCAGACACAGCACCTAGGATACGTCAGCGATAACAGACGCGGTAGGAACATGTATGCCAGTTCACGTGAAGACGACTGAAGACAACTTATCAATTGAAACGTTGTGATCTCAAAATTATATAGACAAAGGAGGTCCAAAATAAAAAAATGTAAAGGCAAATAATTACGAGAGTCTTTAGTGCAACAAAAATAACACAACGTTAGGCCTTGCGTTACTTTATTTTTGACAGCGACAGCAAATAAGGATCGTTGGAGTTTTTTGTGACCACTAACATGTTGGGGAATTTTCTTCCAAATTTTGGGGATTTTTTGGGATACAATGTTCTTGGGAAAATCACACGTTTCGCGAGTAATAATAAAAATAATAACTTATATTAATGTACTATGTCAGCCTCGCGGATATGAAACGTCACAATACAGATTACAGTAATTATTATAATACAAGATAAAATTATAGCAGTGATAAAAAATGATAATAATGCACATGGAAATGCACAATCAAACACATAATTACGATAAAATCGATACAAAATGATTCAATTGAATAACATTTTTCTACAAAAAATGCTTGCATTGATTGTATATTCCCGCACACATTTACTCAAGACCGATAAGAGCTTAGATTGTAATTAGCGATAGCTATCATCTCTATTGTTACGACGGTTGTATTTTTACTGATCCTCAATGTATGTGAGCTGATTATAATTTTCTTTAATTTTCAAAGAATAAACAAGCCTCAAGTATTATATAAGCACTGGGAAATGTCAACAGATGATTTGACTGAAAGGTAGTTCTACAATACCGTTCAGGGCTTAACAAAATGATTAAATAATAATCATTTTGAGCCAAATCTACCCCTTTCCATTAGATTTTCGCATTTTTTTAAAAATAGCGTATTTGAGAGATTTTTGTGCTTGTTCTGTAGAAATTCTGTCCGACCCGTCTGACAACGCTGTGCTTTGACAGATCTGCTTAATGAATACTTTCCTAACAGTCTAAGATTCGGCCGTTTGAATCTGCAAGTATCTTTTTTTTTATAAAACTTGATCTGTATGCATGATAAATAGATGAACTTTGCCAAGCGGCCGGATCTCGTACTATAAGTTCAGAAACCCTGCGCATGGGCAGTAGCTGGTTTTCGCTTCGATGACTGCGACCAAAGCCAGGAGTGAAGTTTTAGGGTCGTTTTTTTTTTCTCATTTCGCCGCTTCTCCTGGTATAAAGTCTCCATGACCTTCCAAGTGAATCGTGGTAATTTGACAGTACTGACTACTGGCATGTTGCTTATTTTTTCGATTCTGACGAGTAGCTAATCCCAAAATTCCAGAATTTTGTTCAATTTTTTCAAGGGAAAGTTTCGGTAATATTTGTGTCCCAACTGGACAAGAAATAAATAGGGTTAGAATCACAGAACCACAGAACAAAAAGTGACAAAATCACCAGACTACAATAGAAGGCTACTTTGCCACATTGCATATCGATGGTGTAGTGCACAAATGTTGTAAGTGATTTTTCATTGAAATTGACTTATCTACAGCAGCATATTACTCAAGGGACGAAGCATCGCATGCACAAGTGTGGTAGTTGATTAATATATTTATGATGCTTCTAGCGCCACCTGCCAGTAGGTATAAGTAACTTTGAAATGTATATTTCTATCGCAAACGTCTTAAATGTACTTAACACATTTGTACTTAGTAACCTACATCCACAAGATGGTGTTAAAGGTAATTGCCACATCTGTGATTCACACATTTCTCGTAGGCTGAAGTTTGAGGTTAGAATTTTAGCTGGTCTGGTCGTGATACTAGTGTGTGCGTGATACAAGTGTATGCTGCGAAAAGGCCATGGCGTCTCGATCTGCACTAATTCTACAACTGGCTCTGAAGGAGCAAGTCTGTACAAAAAGTATACAGGGTACGTATAACATGAAACAGGTAGACCTTTTTTTTGAAACGTTCATTTGCTTGCAGATAGGGAGGTTTTGAGGTATTCTGAAGTAGAAGTGCTTCCATCTGTACCAATCGACGCTGTTTTTGAATCACGTAGTGGAGGAAATAATACCGAATTTGAAATTATACAGAGTATGGATAGATAATACTGAATGATTTTTAAGATAGTTCAGTATATTTTACTTATAGATGAGCTGAATTTGAGGACTGCTGCAATCGCCGTACCCCCAACTACCGAAACTGATGTTATTCAGGACCGTTGCTGTGGACTAAATACGGAAGAAGCTATTTTCACAGATTCCCAGTTGGACGTACCAGTAATAGGTATTACTTGACAATATATTGCTCACGTTTGTTACTAATGTTTTACTGTATATTTCAGAAAATATAATGAACTGTAGTCCTTCACCAACCACCATGAGTACCGACAATGACCCTGAACCATTTGTTCCATCTGACAGCTCTTATACTCCTTCCAATCAAGCTAGTGAATCTGATAGCGAACCAGACGAGGTAACATATCAACCCTCTAAAAAGCAACGAAAAAGAAAAGCCGACCCTCAACTCTGGAAAAGGTCTGTTGTGAAGACTTTGAGATTAAGTGGCGAAAAATATGTAAATCGAGCTGGTAAGACAGTACCAGTAAAACTTCCAAAAATAGTAGACTGTTCTAAATGTCGCTATAAATGCAGCAACTTTCTTTCGCAGGATGAATGTCAAATATTATGTAAAGAGTATTATCAATTAGCAGACTACACTAGGCAGAAAATATATTTAAGTTCTTTAATGGAGAATGTACCAGTAAGCAGAAAAAAATGCACTCCACTGACTAAAAACCGTGCCACTTCTAGAATATACAATTTGAAAAACACAAAGGGTGTTAAGCATAGAGTATGCCAAAAATTCTTTTGTGCTACTTTTGCTATTTCACATCGAGTAATAGAGACAATAAATAAATCTATGAGCAGCACTGGCCTTTTTATCGGCCATGATAAACGGATAGACTCCAAGCCTCATAACATAACTCCCATTGCAATTAAGCAGCAAGTAATGAGCCACATCGATTCTTTTCCAAAAATCATCTCACTATTGTAGACGAGACTCAAAAAAAGAGTACCTCTCACCAGAACTAAACATTTCCATAATGTATCGCCTATATCAGGAATATTGCGAAGAAAATGATATGAGTCCTGTATCTAGGTTCGTGTATCAAAGTATATTTCATGAACATGACCCACCGCTTTCTTTTTATAAGCCAAAAAAGACCAATGTACTGTATGCAATGTTTTCAAGGCATCGCAAAACAAAGAACCTTCACGTGTCAACTTCGAAAACCATAAACGTCGAGAGAAGGAGTCACTAGAAATGAAAGAGAATGATAAAAAACGTGCAGTTGAAAACAAGGGAAGAGAGTTCAGAGCAATCTCTTTTGATTTGCAAGCCATTTTGCCCATTCCCTTTGCAGGTGATAGTCAAGTATATTATAAATCTCACCTCAATGTATACAACTTCACAATCTATGATTGCTCGAACAAGGATGGTATTTGTTACGTATGGAATGAAACACACGGCAGCAAGGGGAGCTCGGAAATTGGAACTTGTCTTTATAAGTATTTGCAAAGTTTACCTCAAACTGTTGAACACGTAGCTACATTTTCAGACACCTGTGGTGGTCAAAACCGCAATAAGTTCGTTAGCGCTGCAATGCTATACTCAGTTAATAAGCTGACTAATTTGAAAACCATCGATCTAAAGTTCATGGAGTCCGGACATTCCTATTTAGAGGCCGACTCCATGCATGCCACTATAGAAAGAGCAAGGAGACATAAAAAAATTTATACTACACGTGAATGGTGTTTACTAATATCTGCTAGTAGACTCAGGCCACGACCATACCACGTAAATAACATGCAATATTGTGACTTTCTCGACCTACAACAACTTGTAGAATGCATTGTTAATAATACCTGGTTGAACAATAATGGCGAAAAGGTATCTTGGATCCGTATTAAATGGTTAGGTTTTGAAAAGCGCAGCCCAAATATAATCCAGTATAAATATGACCTATCAGCGGACTTTTTTTATGAAATAGACGTGTCTGCGAATAAACGAAGATCAGGCCGCAAACGGTCATGGGATTCAGTGCAATTAAAAAGAAAATATGCTACCCGTCTTCCTATTTCAGAGAAAAAAAAGTCTGATCTCTTGTATCTCCTTAATCACGAAACCATCCCATTGGATTACGCAGACTTTATTAACAACTTGCCTTCAACTTCGGATCTTTCAAAGCTTATGCTATGTTACATTCCCAGTCTGAAGATGATCAATAAACTTCATACATTCACCGAGAAATTGGAAATTGTTGACTGACTCCCTTATGTATTTTATTGTTATCTCTGCCATTGGTGGGCCAAGTTTGTAATGAATATTTCAGTTAGTATAATCAATAAGAAAAGTAGGTGTTAAGTTACAGTGCAATATGATACAAATGTGTTAAGTGATGACAAATAAATCTTTATTTTTTCAAAAATTGTTTAACGCTTTTCCTACCCTGATTAAAAGGTATGTAATTTACAGAGTAATGTTCAAATTGTCAACTTTGAAGTTCATTTATTTAGTAATAAGCCGCTAATCAATTTTACTTTTGAGTCAAAGCTATTTTATTGTATAGCGCAAAAGTGACATTTCGGTCTTATCACATTTGTGCGCTACACCATCGATATATAAGTAGCATCATGAAAATTCAATTCATTTAGAACACTGCCTATTAATAGCATTTATTTTTATAATATGAAATTATTTTAATTAAGCTTTCCAGCAACAGCGCTCAATAAGGAAAAAACCTTACGAAATAAGTTTATTCTTCGTAACTACCGGAGCCTTCTTATTTTGATAGAGAATAACGATAGATGGTCTTGCTACTGCACTGCGCAAAATCGACATAAGGAAGATCATAACGAAGCAGCAAAGTAAGAGCATAAAAAACTCTATTGTTATTATTATAATCATTATTTCAGAATTTTTCACAATGCAGTGAGCCCCCCTAGACTCTCAGGTGCTCTAATAGATCGTGAACTTTTACAGAATTCCCTATTTAGCGCCATTCTGCAATGAAAACATCCTAATAATTAATTTATTTTTTATCAAGTAATTTCTCTCTAATACATCATAACTTCTCCGCCAATATGCGACTCACGGTCAGGCAATCAAAACCCACCATTCGAAATAAAACGCTGTCCATGCTCAGGAAGAAAAAAAAATCAATGGCGGCTCACGCGTGATTAATGGGTTTTTCTCGAATAAACAGCCAAACATTTTGCTTCCGTTATGGTCGTTGGTAGAAAGTGTGTTTCAGATAATTTTTCATTATACAGGGTGATGTTCAAGAAACAGATGTTTTCAAAAAGTATAGTTATTTACTAGCTCAAATAAAGGCTATCAAAAATGCCTATCAACTTCGAGATAGGCAATTAGTAAAAATATCCCTGAATAATTCCGAGCAATATTTAAAAAAAAACAGAACTGTGCGAAAAGCGGCTTGATACTTAAATTTAGGGCGGATTTAGAAGAGACCGAAACACCCAACTTTGCTGTTTTTGATCATCAAAAATGATGTATACTGATATACAGGGTGACTTCGAAGTTGAGTCATTTATTTTAACAGTGAGTAGATCTGATCAAAAGAAATGTTTTTTTCCTTTACCGTTTTTCTGGTAAAATTAAAGTAACAAAGTTATAGCCCTTTGGAAGTTTGAGTACCGCCCTGTCTCAATAATGATATTATGTTCTCGTGTTTGGCAACAACAGATATAATCCGCCTTATCCGTTCATCGCATCGGAAACAAAAAAGCGAAAGAATTTGGAACGATCTTTTTACAATTATTTTCTTCAGTTGTATACAGTCAGTATCAGTCGGTAGTCGGTAACGCGTAAGTGAATAATCGTGTCTGTTGCGAGGCTCAAATCAAAAATGGCACATGTTTACGAAAATGCTGAACTTGTGGACATGGTTCTTATTTACGGGGAGTCTTTACAAAATGCTGCCGCGGCATCACGGATCTATGCGGATCGGTTTCCCAATCGAGTGCAACCAACCCCTCGTGCCTTTGTTAATGTAGTGCAAAGAGCTCGTGAATCAGGTGACTTAAGACCTCACAGAGGAGATCATGCCGGTGCTCCAAGACCACACGATCAAATAGAACTAGAAGAACAAATTTTAGAATTAGTAAGTGATGATCCAACAGTAAGCACCCGACAAATTTCAACTCAATTGGCGATTAGTCAGTATAAAACTTGGAAAACTCTACGTGAAAATCAGTTCTATCCGTTTCACATACAAAAAGTGCAGGCCTTACAACCGGAAGATCATGAACAAAGGGTTGACTTTTGCAATTGGCTTTTAAATAAACATCAAAATGATGACAATTTTTTAAATCAAATTTTAGTGAGTGATGAAGCCCTCTTTACTAGAAACGGAATTATTAATTCACGTAATTCTCACGTTTGGGCTATTGAAAATCCACATGAAATAAGGGAAACCAATTTTCAACAGCGATTTGAACCAATCAACCTGTGGGCGGGAATTGTTAATGGAATTTTAGTGGGGCCTTTTGAATTACCAAATCGCTTAACTGGTGAAAATTATTTTGATTTCTTGCAACACAATTTGCCTGGTTTACTGGAAGATGTGCCTTTAAATATTAGACAAAACATGTGGTTTTTACAAGATGGGGCACCACCCCATTATGCAAGAAATGTGCGTGAATTTTTAAATAGACAATTTAATAATCGTTGGATCGGCCGTGGCGGTTTTGTACCTTGGCCGCCAAGGTCTCCGGACTTAAATCCTTTAGACTTTTGTTTGTGGGGTTGGCTAAAAACTCTAGTGTATAAAACACCGGTTAATACACGCGAAGAATTACGTGCTCGAATTGAGGAAATGAGTACAGTGATCAGAAATCAACCAGTGATTTTATTGCGTGCTTGTAAAGAGACATGGCTAAGACGCGCCCAGCTGTGCGTCGAGCAAAACGGAAATCATTTCGAACAGTTTTTGTGACATGCTTTTGGGCGCACAGGTCCGCACTGAAATACTTGTCGGGAGGATACTTTATAAAACAAGGTAACATTTTTTTTTTAATTTTTTTTTATTTTTACACACATATTTTGGTTTATCTTCCTTCTACAATCATTATCTGAAAATTAATGACTCAACTTCAAAGTCACCCTGTATATATATATATATATATATATATATACAGTGTAAAAATTACCTAAATCGTAATCCACCCTTCATTATTCAATTCATCCAAGGGCATTATTTGCCGCCTCACCTCAATGAATGCTGCGAGCACCGCTGGCCCTCTAGACAGATTCCTAAGCCCGGCCTCGAACAAAGTAGCCAATAAGGTGTGTTTTTCACTCAAGGCAAGCATTTTCAATACTTAAAATAGTTTCAAGGCTGATGCAGTATCCTTGTTTTTCCCCTCACGACATCAAAAAAGTGTAATTGAACGAGTAATCATTTAAATTACATGTATTAAAAGTTTTTTGTATATACCCTAATGGAAGATGGGCCAAAACCCAAAGTCCATGATCTAGCTTGCCGGGTTATTATATCTCAGAATGGGCTCAACATTTTTTTCTGGAGAGTACCTACAGCGGCATGAAGCTTTGTGAAATTTCAGGGTACCACGAACGAATCGACTTGGGAGAGGCGCCCAATGCTTGAAGGTTCAGAAGTTTTATATTTTCCCGCTCCTCCTATCCTTGGAATGCTTTCCAATACCAATACCCTATAATATATGACCACTCCGATGCAACATCGTCCAAGGGTTCAAAAATGACTTCCGAATTGCAATCTGATAATCCGTTCGGCAGATATGGCATTACAGTCAACATTGAGTTTTTCGAAAACTCGTTTTATTAAACTGATAATTCGAATACCTTCCGGAACAAAAAATCCACAATAATAATTTTTCTCTTGAAGGAGAAGGATCGACATATCGCTTTATATGAATTGAATTTGGTACTCGAACCTCTAAATCGCTCGTATAGGACTTTAGAGCCAATTTTAGATATTTCAGCCCAAAATTTACCATTTTTATCGAACTAGAGGAGGTTTTTTCTTTTTATTATACGTCGTGGCCATATCGTAAAATTGACCATTTCATGAAATGGTCGCTTTCTTGAAATGTATCATTATCAGATCATGATGTGACCAGATCAATGATAACAAATCATTTAACAATATAATCAACTAAATGCGCGGTTACTTCATGAAATGTTTAACCAAATATTTAGATAAATTACGGATAGAGTCGCTGGCAGCGTTTTTTTAACGTTTCAAGACAGCAATCGTTAATAACAAAGTTGTTTTTCGAAGCGGAAATTCTAATAACTCGTTACGAAATGGGCATGAGAGTGAGAAGTGACTTTAAGACAAAAAAGATACTCGAGATGTCGAGTACTATGCTGATGACGCAAGTATGTCGAAAAATCGTGAAGTTCGTGACATTATCAATCATTTATTTGAAGTCAAAATTGTGTGAGCTACAATATTATTCTACGTAATTTATATTTCATTTTAGGTTATGCGTCAAATAAAGCAGAGTTGGGAGAATACGCGAGAAAATAACTCCATTTGTGATATCTGATATGTCAAAAAATTCTATTTGTGACACGTTGTGCAATTTAAGAAAGCTTTAATATAATTATTTTATTTTGAGTTTTTAAAATTACTAGTTTTGGTCAAAATGGTTGTCTAACTTAAAGAACAATAAACAAGTTCGTAAAATATTCTGGATAAGTATTAAATATTCTATGGGCACCCTATTGTACGATATGGTCAATCGTGGATGACGATTTAACGATATGGTCAAATTTCATGAAATGATCAGCTCTACGATATGGCCACGACATTTACATACACTACATCAATGTTTGCTTTTCCTTTCCTTTATAAATACTGTCAATACAATCTGGCAACAGTGTAGCGCGTTGAACTTGATCGCTATATCCGGCGTTACGCTAGCGCGTAGATTCGTAGAGTGAGATGTCGGACAACGTCGTATGGTGACGTCTAGTACAGGGTGTCCCAATAAAAATAGAAAGTAGTTTTATGAGCAAAATGGAAATTATACCAAACATCTGTTGTCGTGGTAACCTTGATCTGTTATTAGTGACTATTTTCAAATTATTTTAATATATGCAGGGTGTTCCATAACTTTGTGCCATAGCAAAAATATAGTTTTTTAAATAGAATACCCTATATTTTAGTGCATATTTGAACAGAGCTTCTAAAAACATGAAGTTTGATATATATTGAAATAACATATGGTTTCGATTGTCAATTGTTTAGATATTTAGTGATGCCTGAAAAATCTCAAACTTTGACGGCTCGCAGCTCCGCAATTTAGATAAATTTTAGTTCACAAAAATATTATCGATTTTAAGTTGATCTGAAAGAAATGCTAAAATATATTTCTACTTATACAGGGTATCTCAAAACGCAAAATGTACCTATTCTCATGAATTTTAAATGGAACGTCCAGTATATTTCTACATCATTGAATAGCTTTCCTTGGAATTTGTTCTTTGATATAGGGTTATACTACTTTTTTCGAACAGTTTTTTAGCGGATATCAGAACCGTATCTAGATCGCTGGCGCCCTAATAATTGGATGGGACGAGGAAGACCGATCAATTGGCCAGCGAGATCTCCCGCTCTGACGCCTCTCGACTTCATTCTCTGGGGCCATGTAAGCGGAAAGGTTTACCAGGAAAAACCTTCAACACCCGAGGACATGAAACATCGTATAAGCGAGTTGTTTAAGCGGATACCTAGACAAACCCTTTTAGACGTGCACGATAATTTCATCCGGCGCCTGGGCATGTTCACTTTGCACCATACTCGAACAATTTATTAACAATTTATTACCTAAGGCTGAGACTATTTTTGATGTGTTAACAAAAGCTATTGTTTTCATAGCAATTCTGATTTCCTGTTCAAATACTTATTTTGTTTTTTTTAAAACAAAAGCAATAACTCATAAACGTTTGGAAAAAAGTTGTATAAGCCTTATGTCAAAAAAGTTTATCAAAGAAACTATTTAACGACGAAGAATTATATAGGGCGTACCATTTGAATTTTTTGAGAAAACGTACATTTTGCGTTTTGAGATACCCTGTATAAATAGAAAGAAACTTAAGCACTTTTTTCGGATCAGCTTAAAGTCGATGATAATAAAAGTTTTATCAACTGAGATTTATTTAAATTTCTTCAAAAATGGCGGAGCTGCGAGTCGTAAAAGCTGGGAATTTTTTCAGACGTTTGACCAAATATGCAAACAATTGAAAATCGAATATGTTATCTGATATCATACTTCTTAGATTTAGAAGCTTTATTCAAATATGAACTGAAATATAGGGTGTTCTATTTAAAACATATATGTTTGGTATTGCACAAAGTTATGGAACACCCTATATATATATATTAAAATAATTTTAAAATATGCACTAATAACATATCAAAGTTGCTACGAAAACAGATGTTTGATATTATTTCCAGTTTGCTGATTAAACTACTTTCCATTTTCGTGGGAACACCCTGTATATTAGAAGCGCCAGCGCGTGCCCCCCAACAAACATTTCGCCCAGATCTCAGATGTGATGGAAATATCCTGCCCACCCTTCGCACCATACACACCAAAAATAGATACGCGTTTCTAACTTCCGATCGTCACGATTCCTATTTTTTTTTTTTTTTTTTGGGGTTCACTGGGAATATTACCGACTCGCAACCATGGGCGCCCTCCGGGGATCATGCCCTAGTCCAGTCAGTGTTCCCGAACAGAAAAAAAAAACGGAACCCGTAGATAGTGCCCTTGAAACTCGATAGATTCACGTAGTGACCGACCGAATTTTCAATTTCGGCCAGTTTCGGTCCAAAGTGAGAGTTTCGGTTTCGGGAGAAAATCCGTTGAAAGTGCAACCGATACCGAAACTACGTTTGTATGTTTTCGTGCGCCTTCGGGCAAATTTATTCAGATCAAATATCAAATTTGCGAGAAGAAAATGTTTAAAAATTGTTATCTATGTCATCAATAGTTGTAGTAGTAATTGTTGACTGTTCACTTATGACTATTAGATTACGTTCTAACGGCCTGATGCACCAACATTAATTTTGAGTTTTGTAAGAATACAGAAATCTAAGGTCTTTTTTATGTAATTCAAGATAGACGATAACTCACAAATTATTGGGGAATTCCAGTTGAGGCACATTTTTTTTTTAATATAGTAAGTACATACATTTCAGTATTGTGTTGCCAATCGCTAACTGATTGGTTAAGTGTAAGGGTAGCGAATGCTCAACTTTGCCAATCAGTTGGTGTATTTCCAAATAAAGACTACTATATTATTATTATTTCAGACAACATATTCAGAGCTTTACACCTAAATTTCCCAAAAAATGCCAGTTACATATTAATTTCATGGAAATGGAAATACGTATGTAGTTTATAACTTTGAATGATTCATCTATAAAACCACTATTTATTAGATCAAAGTTATCCAAATCATCGTTTAAAATATCATCATGACTAATAAAATCTTCAAACTCCAAAAATTAATCGTTTAAGTTAACACAGTTCACAAAATTTTAAACGGGGTTTAAGTGCTTGCATAACGGAAATCTGCAAAATAAACTATGTTTCCGTCTAAATTATCGTTAAATAGTATGGCTACCTTAGTGTACGCATTGTACATATATGATTGGTATGGGGCATAATACTAATTAGGCCACGACATAGAATTAATTTTTTGTGTATGGATGATTTTTGTCCCCCACTCCTTAGTTGCCACAAGGACATTCGCTCTCAGAAACACAGATGTAGACGACGTTTTAGTTGTTGATATCACCCTCCGCTTTCGATAATTTTGTCAATTCATTCTCAGAAGCACCGATGCAGCTACAACATTTTTTCTGAAAGTGATTAAGAACCTCTGAAACGTCAAAAAACGAAGTTTGAGCGATATTTATTTTTTGTCCCTAGTCCCGCCGCCACTGTACCGATTTTCAAAAAATTACAAAGCATTTTCGTCCTTGGCATAGTAGTATCTTGTGAGCAAACCTTGGGCTTTTAAAAAACAATCAATTAATAAAATAAAAATGTTAATAAAAGTTTACAATACACATTCAAAAATCTTCAAACGTAAATATTTCATGAATGCGGTCAACTTGAAATTTGAGTTATTTCCAGGGGATGTCTTTTAAGTTTTGCATATGGAAATAAAACAAGACGATAAGTAGTTTTAAATGACTATTGTTTTTCGAAGTATGCATTCTCCACGAAGATTAATACACACCTGCATGCGCTCGAACCAATTTTCGAAGCACTTATTCCACTCGTTTGCTGGCAGATCCAAAACGGCATTTTTGAATGCGTCAACTGCTTCTTCTGGTGAGTGGAACCTTTGACCACGCAATCAGTTTTTAATTTTCGGGAAAGTAAAGAAATCCTTAGGAGTTAGATCGGGATTATATAGAGGATGGTCCAATAATTCCACGTTTTCTTCCGTTAAATACTGCCTCGTTTTGTGGACTGTGGGCGAGCTTGCATTGTCTTGGTGGAGGATGATTCTTCTTTCGGGGTTGATTTTTCGAAGCTCGGTGATGATTTTTGGCAAACAAATGGTTGTCTACCAATCCGCAGTAACAGTTCTTTGCTTATTAAGAGGGATTGTTGCAATATGACCCGCTTTTGACACAAAAGTCGCGACCATCTTTTTCGAAACACTTCGAGAACGGATGACTTTTGTTGGCTTTTCTTCACCTTGGAACACCAAAACAGCCGACTGTCGTTTATTTTCTGGTTCATAACAGTGAATCCAAGATTCATCACCACGAATAATGCTGTACACATTTTTTGAGTTTCCGGAATTGAAACGGTCAAGTGTTTTTTGACACCAATTAACCCTGGCTGCTTTCTGCTCTTCAGTCAACAGGTGGGGTATCCAACGAGAAACTAATTTTCTTACTTCTAATTCTTCATGTAAAATTTTTTGAATTGAGGTCTTTGAGATCTTCAAGGACGCCTCAATCTCGCGGTATGTCACATGTTTATCTTCAATGATGAGTTTGCGCACAGCATCGACGTTTTTGGTGCACCCACACCGGGATAGTCGCTAACACTCACCCGTCTACTTTTAAATTCTCCATACCAACGGGAAATTGTCGACTGATGTGGCACTTCGTTGCCGAAAACAGGCAGTAACTCAGCAAGGCATTCTTGTTGCGATAATTGTCTCTGAAAGTTGTAATAAATTATGGCGCGAAAATGTTCTCGGCTGAGTTCCATTTTTCTCATGACTTGGTGACACTTAAAAATTCACTGTAGTGAGAACACTGCACGTATTGTTGTGAAACTTTGAATTTAAGTTTACTAAAGAGTGAGGTTAAGATTCAGTACTGACGTTCGATCCGCGTGGCCTACTATGTTTCTCTATGCAAAACTTAAAAGACATCCCTCGTATATACCCACAGGAGTTTTCCTGAACCTGAAGTACACAAACCAAACATTTATCCTAAAGAGTAATCTGCGCTTACCACGAGATAGACAACCATTAAAACCAAATGCCTTTTCGAAAAATGCACATACATGCACAACTTACCTTCTCCGATTTTATAGAGAATGTTCATGATCGCCGGAAGATCGTCACCCATAACATCTTGAGGCACTCTTTTGAATAGATCTTGTATTATTCCGGTTACCATCTGTCTGTAACAATAAAAATATGTTATTAGAATCGTTTTGAAAATCGACAATTGAGAACAATTATTAATTTAGTGCGGGAATTACAGCATAACTAGGGATGTTAATATTGATTATTCATCTATGTCAAATGCTAATGATGATGGCCTTTTTCGATTTGAGGCCTTCTGACTGCCTTATATTATAAAAAAGTAGTGATATAAGTAAGCCTTGACTCCGCCAGTAAGGCGCCTGAAAGCAAGGAGTTCTCTAATGGACGAGTACTTTTATTTATACCGAAACAGCCGCGTACGCCGAAACCTAAGTACTGGGGCACCACGACTGCTTAGGAACCTAAAGACGGCTTGTTAATTGGATTTTTGAACTACCTGATGCTAGCCGAACTGAGAAAACCCTCCTAAGAAGGATGTTCCACAATCCCGAAACCCTAGGGACAAAGGAGCTGTCGTAGCGGCCAGTTCTGGATGTACGAAGTTCGACGGAGTTGGGATGGCTGGCAGGCTCAATGCACGGCGGCATCGTGGAGGAGAGCTCTGACAAGCGAAGTCCGTTAACCGCCCGTCGGTGAGAAAGGATTTCGAGATTGTCCGTTAAAAGAGAGTCATCAATAAGTCAGGTGTAGTCCTCCTCTGAACAGAATCGATAATGTAGTCGAAGCAGTAGCAGCTTAAAAAAGTGAGCAGTACCCGGGGCCCGGTCTTATCTGGGCCTTGTACAGAAAAAGGAAGTTATTGGTAGAAAAGTACTTGTTAGCGTTCAACAGATAACCAAACTTTTTGCCAGCAGCTGCCGCCAATGAAGAGAGGTGTTTGTGCCAGACCAAGTGCTCAGTGATCTGGACTCCGACCTGCCGAAACGAGTGGCTCCTTGGCAGAACCCTGCCATCCATCGAAACCATGTGAGCGCTACGGCGCTTCTTGTTAGTCAAGGTACAGTACTGATTTGGAAATTTTAAATGTACTAAATTGTTGCGTCCTCAAGAACTGATAACTTCCAGATCTCTCGTCAGAGAGGAAATCGCTACTAGTCTTCTTCTCTCCATTGGCACAGATTGGAACTGACTGCCTGCTTGTCTTTCTGGAGAGAGCTCGTGGAAATGTAACGGCAACAGTGTTAAAATCAAAACTGATCCTTGGGGGAACACCCGCGTTGACATTGTGGAATTACGATAGTATCTTGTCGAAGAGGAACCCAGCCTATCTACAAAGCATGGGATGGAAGTTTGCATAAGAGGGCAGCATTTCAGGCTTAATCGAAAGCTTTCGGGATATCAACGGCAACGACAGAAACCATACAGACCCTGTAACACTAAGTTCGAGATATCCCAGAATCTCCCCATTTAGGCACTTCCCTATCACAATGCTGATCACAGAAAGCAAAGCTATAGGCTTTCCTGTGGGAACGTACCAGATGCCTAGCCTATTTATCTGCATCCGGCGTTGCGGACTTAACTGCAGCAGTTAGAATTTTACCAATATGTTTACACGTACATTTTATCAAAATGCTTTTTAAAAATTGCCAAAACTGATTTTTTTCTACTTCCTGGGCTATTTACTCTGCATTTTGAGCCGCCTGATTGGACTGTTGCTACAGATGAACAAATATAACATTTCATCGAATTCCTTTTTATAAATTGAGAATACCGCATGGAAATTTAGCGTCAATCTCAATTTTTTCTCATTTCCTTAGCTATTTACTATCTATGTTTTGGAGCCGCCTAATTGGACATTGGACAGTTGCAACAGATTAACAAATCTGAATTTCTTTGTATAAATCGAACAACACTGTATGGAAATTTAGCGTAAATCTCCAATCTTCATTTCTTTTCTCATTTCCTGGGCTATTTATTTCCCGCATCCGGCGATGCGTGGCTTCAATCCGCCTTTTACGGGTGCTTTACTTTTACGCCATGGCATCATCGGGCCACGAGGTTCGCTTCGGTGAGCCTTTTAAATACTTTCCATCGCTCTTTAAACACGTGCTGATATCTTACATACAATGTAATGAAAATGATGCAGTTGCATATACTGCATTAGTCCAAGAAGTAATGAGCTGTACTGTTTGGAGAGCACACGGTGAAGTTTGAAGGTATCGCGGCATGCCATAACGGTTTAAAAGAAAATGGTAACACCTTTGAGTAAACAGTAATCAGTTGCACGCTAGTCAAGATGTAATGACTCTCACCTCTACTTTTAGTAGTAGTACTATCCGTCCTTGTCCCTTTCAAAGTACTCTCCTCTCGTATTAACACTTTTCCCAGCGGTGTTTCCACTTTGCAAAACAGTACTGGCAAGTCTCATTCGAAATGTGCTGCAATGACCATGACGGATTTGTTTTAATGTCATCAATGGTGTCGAACCGGCGCAGAGTGGGCAATTAGACCGATCTAGGTGGTCAATAATTATTTCCAAAATAAAAGATGTTTTGCACCAGAGGTTGTTGTTTACTATAAAAACCAATATTTATGGTCTTTGACACATCAGAGCCGTTCTCAACGGGTATACAAAAAAGTAACCCTTATGGTTCGTGCATGTGCCAGCGATTTTACATCGCAGGAGCGCTTAATTTTATGTAGAATTTTATTTCTCTAGTTGAGTTTTACAGAGATGGCTAACCTCTCTAACTCAAGAGGCCTAAGAGGCGAAAAATAAGGATTACTGAAGATTTAGAGCACTTCCCACTCAAAACAAATCCTGTGTAGTCGCCCATAGAGATCTAATAACGATGCTTTTAGTTCCATCAGACCCGGTCGTAGCTTATTTTCTGAAAATGTCGTTAGTTTATTGACAGTCAGTGCTCCCATTGATGCATTTTCGAACTTAAATGTTACATCTTCATCTCATATATCAGATGAGGAACCTCCAAGTACTTCTGATACCGACTAAGTTTTCTATTTGTATTTTATAAGTTTGTATTTCCTTTAATTGTTATTCTCCTTACGTTCATTTTCAAACAACCTGTTCATTATATTTAAATTTGCAGTTTTCAAATTGCAAAATAATAAAATGATAATCAAGTAGAAAAAAAAATATCAACCACTGGTTGTTTAATAATACCATTAATGAGTTTAATATCACAAATTTTGTGACCTTTTAGAAATTCTAATTTTCTTTACAAAATTGATATACGGGAATTTTTGGAAGGATTAACACCTTAGAAGATATTTCAGAAAACGCGATGAAAATTGGATATCCAAAGCACCAGTTTCGGCCTCTTTGTATTAAACATATTGCCCACTGTGCAGCGTCCTTGCAGCACTGATTTCAGTTTAGGAAGTAAGAAAAAATCCCTAGTAGCTAGATCCAGAGATTAGGGAGGTTAAGGGTGGACGGTCATCTGATTTTTGGCAGAAAACTGGCGAATTGTAAGGCTGCGTGAGCATGAGTTGTCTCGCCAGAACTCTGGTTTCTTTTTCAAACTTAATCACGCAATCGTTTCAAAAAATCTTTAGACCAAGCTAACTAGACAAAATCGAACCTGTTTAAAAAAAATAAACAAGCACATCGAAAGCTATAAAAATGTTGTCAAAGTTGGAAAAATCACTTTTTCGCGTATATTTAAATAGTCATGAATTAATTATTGGTGTAACTGGTCCAAAAAAAGTTGTAGACGATGAAGATTCATTGAAAATGAGATCTTATACTGCAATGGTTAATTTGTTATTACAACAAAAAAAGTACGTCCAAGAAAGTCAATTTCTACATTCTTTTACACCGGAAAAAGCATAACGGTAAATCTGAAATATCCATTATCTGAAATAGCCAAAAGTTAAAGCTATTGAGACATAAAAAAATCATCCGAAAATACTCAACCGTTTCTGGAATTTTTTAATTGTTACAAATTTTTGTTGAATAAAAATACCTTCTTTGACCAGCGGTCCAGCTGCTTTGGGTCAATCAAATAGCCTCATACTGGGGTAATTCTATTACTAAGACTTAGTTGAACACCGTATTAAAAGAGATAACAGCTTTTCTTAAACTTATCCAGGGTGCATTATTTTACCGTTGTTTTTGACAGTCGTAATTAAGATACTCGTCGCTGATGGAAAATACAGATGAACCTTTTTTGAACCATTGGGGGTCGAAGGAAAAATATAAAAATTGATAGCTACAGCAAGTGTCGAACAGTATTTCGAAGTCGTGTCCATTTACGAGTACCAACTAGCAGTCAGACGCAATGTTGAAACCATGCGCTAATATAAAAATACTCAAGTTAAATATTGGAAAATGGGTGAATTTTGGAAAAAAAATGCCAGCATTGCAAACTTTTGAGCTTTTACAAAACAATCAAGTAATACAATAAAAAGGAAAATGTTTATCAACGTTCAAGATACATAGGTTCTAAAATATTTAAATAAAATATTTCATAGATGCAATTAACTTGAAATTTGACTTCTTTTCTGGGCCGCAATGACTTGATTCAATACATCCAACAAAAATAATTATGAAAAAAAATGAGTCGCATAATTTCGATAAAAGATGACGCCATCTTTGCGTAAGCGATTTCCTTTAGCTTGCCTTTTGTGGGCATCAAATTTGTTAATTCAAATGTTGCCTCATTTCGGTTGACCGATGCATCTGTAGATTGGTACCTATATGTCTTTAGTTCTGATCACAAAACAATTATGTATATTCAGCATTAGGATTGTGAGTCCAAAATAATGGCCACCGCAATTATATGACGGATTAGACATTTTTAAACAACCTTTCCAGGATGGCTTATCAAACGAAAGGGCTTGGTTAAAAGAATGCAGTAGTACACTATGAAACAATGTTAAGTCCAAGATGGGACACCGCTACAAAATGGCGCATTAGATATTTATCACCCTCCGTCAATATGGGTATCAAATGGAATGGCTTGACTGGAAGAATACAATACACCACAAAAAAAATAAAATTCAAGTTGCACTCCGTTACCAAAAAATGGAACATTACATATTTTTTCAATCTCCCCATTTATGAATAGAACACTTTTGAAAACAATATAAAATAAGTTCAATGACTTTATTATGGAGAAACATAATACTGCACTTCTCATAAATCTCCGGGTTTTTTCAGTTTTCAAAGCGGAAGGATGTCGTTTTGGTTTATTTATACTCATCATCATATAGAAAATCGAATATATCATTCACTATATTTAGTTCATAAGACCTTAATGAATAAAAAACCAGAGTACCTTCTCAATAAGCTACAAAAATATGAAGACGTTAACAACTTAGCAACAAGAAATAGTCAATCTCTAGTTATACCGCACCACTCTACATCATTGTACAAGAAAAGTTTTCATACACTGCGGACAAACACTACAACAATTATTTACCAACTGATTTCCGCAATTACAGTCTAATAAATTTCAAGAAAAAATTAAAAGCAATGCTTCTACCCAGAAAAATCGATTATCTTTTCTTTTAAAATCGATTTTCCATTGATCCATTTTTTGCATGGATATTCACATCCTTAATTCAGCATATCGGATAAACGGTAGTAGTATTTTTGGCGGGAGAGAAGCACGGACAACGGAAAACACAAGACAGCGTCATTTCCATCGTGGTAGCGTAGTCCATACAGTCCATGCCGATTGGTACTGGAAGGTGCGCGCGCACCATCCGTACTATTGGCGCCAAGCCGGTACGACGTGACGCTGTTTATGGCCACGCACATTCCTCAACAAATTCTTAGGATGGTGAGATCATTCGTATACGAGGTCTATTCCAGGAGTTGAGAAAAATCGATCTATTATTTTGGAATAATGCTTGATTATTTTCAGTCAAAAAGTTGAACAGACATCTTCAAGAAAACATTTTTATGCCACTGTCAAAAGAAAAAAATTCCAATATACTCATCTCTACGAATTAATAGTGGTTCTGATTTTCAAACTATAGATGAAAGAAACAAATCAAATATATTGTCGTTTCGATCGACAGCCATTTGAAATGGCATCAACTAACCAGTGAAGAAAAACTCTTACCTAAAACAAAGAATACAGAGTTACCAGTAGAAGACCCAATCACAAAATAAAGGAGTGTTCTGATGCATTGCTAATGATTTTAGAGAAGTATTGCTATTCCAGCATATTTGGAATGCATTTTGTCATACAGGACCTCAGGTCGACGAAGGAGATCCATTCAAAATTTATATATGACTCATGAGTGTACCAGTTTCAAACACACAATATCACAAAAATATGTTGTGTAGTTTTACATCTAATTTCCAAATAACTCATGATCAATTTGGAATATTGATAGTGCCTTTTCGGAGCTTCGTTGAATATGTTGCGGAATTGGAGGAGGTATTTCAAAAGACTTACGTTATTTCAGTTTCTCACTTAACTCCAGACACGAAGATTCAAAAAGCGTTTGCTGCTTACTTAGAGCCCTTACATCGATTTTCAAACTTATGACCATACAGTGTATCCCAAGTTACGTAATGAAACAGAAGAAGACAGTACGGCAGCTGAATCGTCGCCAGCCAGCGACGAAGGTGCAAAAAACTATTTTTCAACACGCAACTTTTTTAAGCAAAGGATATTTGTCATCCATTGTTCAAGCCATAAGGACAATAATGACATTATTCACCCTGTAAAAATACAATTAGTCGATGTCATTACAAACAATTTTTCGACAACCTATTCCTACGTGCGCCAAAGTACAATAGCACTGCCCTCTATAAAGCAATAAAAAAGTGCGGGACCTCTTCAAGTGAGGCACCTAAAAAAAGGATCCGGGTTCTTAGAAAAACGTCGGTAACTCAGAAGAAGAAAGTTCTTCCAACATTTTCTTGGTTCTGAACACCTTACCCTTATGCCGGATTTACTTTGCGTTGTCGGTTGGAGAGGGATGACGACAACGCCAAAAATTTTGACATGATCCAAATAGCGATTGAAAGAAATATTTTTATACAGAATATTATACGAAGAATCCCGAATACTGTAGCTATGTCAGACAGCTTTACTGCTTTCTTCTTCATTTATCTATACAAACATAAGAACAGGTTAGTTAGTATTGAGCAGAATTATAATACATAAAACTTCCTGGGTTCGCGTGATACGAATAAAATCAACTACTGAACAACGTTCTCTAATTGTTTAGCCCGTAACTGTATAGGTTGAATAGAATACGATATCGTATATTTGATTTCCGTCTTTGTAACCATGAACAACCCTCATACGACCTTGTTTCATATTTGTCAGCAATCATCAGTACGGACCGTACGGTATAGGGCTAGTCGTTGGATACAGAAAAACGGTTGATGCTGTTTCAGCCCATACTCTGAAAATGATAAATGAACCCCTACACCTCAGACATACACTGAA